TGAGGCACCCCTTGCCCACTTTGCAGCAGCGGGGGGCACAACATGCTGCCGCTGCTGTGCCTCACCTTGGCAGCTGTGGTGGCATGGCGGTCCTGCTGGACCCTGGAGGTGGCTTCTGGTCTGGCAAGGGTACAGTCCTGCACCCCACTGTGGACACAGAAATTTGGGGGGAGGGGGGCACATGCCCCCTCACCCCCCTGACACATTGCCTGTGCCCACTCCTACCCCCCATGCATCACCTGTGCCCACACCCACCTTCTTCCTCACACCCACCCCCTTCCTCGCACACTCGGGGATCTGGGTGCAGGGGGCTGTGGGTTGGGAGTGAGGGGCACTGGCAGGGCTGGCAGGTTGTGGGTCGGGAGTGAGGGGCAATGGTATGGGCAGTGGCAAGGCAATGGGATGGGAGGGGCACTGGCATATCAGGGCTGCTCAGCACCACACAGCAGTGGGAGGGACAGCTGCAGTTGCACCAGTGTCCTGGTGAGTGAAGGGGGCAGAGGGAGTTCTGACTTTCTATGATAAAAACAATCAAAATTAAAAAACAAAATTTATAGGTATTCTGAATTTATTTTAATGATTGAGGCACTTGTAGGCTTCCAATTTGCTTTAAAATGGTAAGTATGTCAATAAAACATTGTGTTCAACTGATACCAATATATGTAGTGGAATTTCAATTTAATTTTGGAAAAATGTGGATTCAGGGTTTTTTAATCAGAATTTGGAATTTTTAGCATAGAACTTTGGATTTTAAACAGAGAACACTAGGATCCTTGTTGTGTTGAGTTTAGTTTTAGTGTCCCTGTCAGTCCAGCAATTTTACTTTTATGGCTTTCTGTTGACAACTTTCTAGCAAGATAGTGGCCCTTTAGGTTCTCTTCCTTTGCAGGCTCCTTTTGAAATGCAAGCTATTTAAGCATATTTGGTTAATGTGAGGCAGTGCAATTGTTCTTTTGATTAAGAATGAATCATGAAGGGAAATGCCAATCCTGCCATATCTAGCACTTAAGATGATAGCACTGAACCTTCTATTAAGACTCCTTTTGGAGTTTGTTAAAAGCTTTGAATTGACCAACTTTCTCTATAGACTTATGTCACTGTTTGCTACCTTCCCCTGCCTTGCCAGATTGTGGAGCAAACTGTTGTCACAAAGATTGACTAATTCAACATTGTGCTTGATTACTTTAGGCTTAGGAATGTGTGTGTATTTTGCATAATAAAAGACAATATTGCATGGCAGTCTAGGTATAAACACCTAGTAGCCACATGAGTTTTCAAACTAAATGCTAATAAGGACCATTGTTTGGCTTTTAAATCTCTGATACATTCTCTCCATTCTCCCAAAATTAACTGAGTGTTTTGCAATGGAACAAAGAGGTGTTTCATTAGTTCTTTCTTGGTAAAGTCCTGGAAGCACATGATAAAAGCCTCTGCAGTGGCATCTACTGATGTGATTGCATTTGTTTCTTGGGAATAACTACATGGTGCTTGATCAGTTACCCAGCAGATTGGAAGACAGTGTTAATTATCAGGATGGAGCTCCTTCCAGAGACTCGTGCAAGATCATCAGAGAGCATGATCTGAATCAATTACCATATTTACTTACATAATATACACACTTTCTCCCCCAAAATTATCCCTCCAAAATTGAGGGGGTTGTATTTTAAACTGGAAACTTCTTTCTGCACTGGATTAGAGGAGTGGGGATGCCGGAATGGCTTCTGAGGGCTTGGCAGCAGTCGCAACATAGTAAAACCTGTAACTTTAGAGCTGCAAGGAGAGTGTGAGTGGTTCTAAGGAGTGGGCTGCATGTGGCCCTCAGCCATGGTGAGCCTGTGTTGTGGCAGTTAAGATTCTGGAAAGAATCTTTTTCATCATTTTGCCTTCCCAAAACAAGGAGCATATCTTATTTGGGAGAAGGGAGGCGGGGGGTGGGGGTGGTATGTGAGTAAATACAGTGATAGTGAATCTACTAGATGGAATCTTGCAAAGCATCTGTGTATTATTCTTCATCTTTACATTTGTTAATTCAAGCATGTCTGAGGAGTAGAGGAGTTTGTCAAATGCTTTGAAAATGAGTTCTAGGCTCACGTGGCACAATTTAATGCACTTGTACAGGAAGTATAGTGCACTTTTTTGCATTTGAACTGTAAGTGGTAACTATCTCTGGCATTAATGCTACGAGCCAGAACCACATCACTGCTAACAGCCAAGAATTTGGAAGTCATAACTATTGCCCAGTAATTTTTTATTTAAAAATTTCATTTGAGACCACCTCCCAGTTTTTATTTAGCTTGCATGTCCATCCAGCATCCTTGCCTCTGGAAGGCTAGCAGTATCCTTCCTTCCACACTTACCTCTTTTTGCTTGCTTTTTTTGTTGTTGTTTATTTGGTATGAGCTTTTTAATGTAGTTTGACAAATACTTGAACCAGAGAGAGTTTAACTGCAAGTCCCCACCAGAGGGCTGTAGTATTTGGAAAGAGCCCTTTCCTGTTGTGGTTGGAAAAATTGCTGAGTGGTAGCAGCTGTACCACGCAAGAGCTATTTTTCATAAAAGCAATGGTGGCTCCAGTGGGGTGGACTTTTGTCCCACTCTTTGCTTCAGTTTACTCTGGATGATAGATTGTAGGGATATCTGAGTCAGCTCTATCCAATGTATACCTGCTCTTCTGGGAAGGAGGGGAATTCTCATAGGAGGTGTTTGGGAATGTAAAGTGAACTAGCATCCAGACAGAGAGAGAGGGAAAGCTGAAAAGTGAACTGGAACTGAGAAAGAGGAAATATTATTGAGCCACAGATTTAGAATTTATTGGGTTTCAGATCTTTTGTAGCAATGCAGGATTTTTCCAAAAGGAACAAACAAATTCAATCAGTTGTCTTTTCCAGGTGACATAGGATTGTTAGTGTTGCTGAATGCAGAGACCGCTTGGTAGCCTCTCACATAACTGACCAACTGTGAAATGTCCTAACATTGCAAAGTAGGCATATCCCTTTCTTTAAACCATTTTGCAGCTTTTTGCTTGTTCCTCAGATACCCCTTATTAGGAAGTGGAGCACTCCAGATCTGTCCCCATCTCGAGTAATTGCTTGCATCAGGAGTTCCCAAACGGTGGGTTGTGACACCAAATGGAGTTGCAACATTGGTGGTTGGGGTTGCAAGATTTCAGCGCCCATAGTGGGGAGTGGGACTGCAATGGGACTGGAACAGCTCCAGGCAAGAGCTGCCTCCACAGCCCAGCGGGTAGGACCCAGCACAAGATGGAGCGCTGCATGGTTGTGGCCGCCAAGGTGAGCTGCAGCGGTGCCAAGTTGTGCCTCTGCTGCTGCCAGGTGGGCAAGGGGCACCTCAGCTTGGCAGCTGTGGCTGTGCCAGGTCCTGCCTGCTGGGCCATGGAGCTCCTGAGGGGGACAGCAGAAAGACAGCCCTAAGCTCACAGCAGGGAGCCTGCATCTTCCCTCCCACAGCTCCGTTCAGGCTGTGCCGCCCAGGGGATGAGGGTGGGCAGAGGAGCAGGAGCTGGGCTCCACACTTCTATACGCTCTATGCTGGCTGCAGCAGCTGCCAACCCCTGCAAGCAGCAGCTTGGGCTTGGGCACTGCTGGAGAGCGGGGAGGGGGAAAGAGGAGCTGCAGCCCTTGGCTCTGGGGCACCTGTGAGGAATAGGGGGCTGCAGGTTGGGAGGGAGAGGCACTGGTAGGGGAAGGGGGCAGTGGGTTAGGAGTGAGGGGCACTGGTAGGACCAGGGGGCTGCAGGTTGGGAGTGAGGGGCCATGCAAAAGAAATGAGGTCAAGCTGAGGAAAAGTTTGGGAAGCATTGGCTTCCGTGTTTTGCAGGCTGTGTCAAGGCACAGGCTGTTTGTTCACAGTGGGCTGAAGCAGCAGCTGCTGTTCTTAATCATTGTGTGCTTTGCTGCCCTCTAGCGGGGGATGAACCAAAATTAGTTGATCTGCATCTGTGTGTCCAGTTCTTATGGTGTGGGTCACACACCAAGCATGAGGATTCCTTTCAAGGTTATGGAAAATGCAGCTCCTTGAGGTTGGATCATCATAATAGTTGAGAGGTGTATGGAGGAAGAATGCCTGGGCTTGAACTGTGGGCAAGATGTTCTGGCCGTATTCCACTATAGATTTCTATTGGGCTTAAAGTTGCTCTTCAGATTGCCAGGTGAAGCCTTGATCCCAGTGGCCAGGACTTCTTAGATCTGCTTTCCCATCTGGCTGGGAGACTGGATTGATGGAATGGGAAAGAGCATCATGTACTGCATTGTCTTAAGTGTTTCTTGGTAGCCCCTCCTTAAGGTACTGGCATTAGTACAAGGCTTAGAGTGGTGGCTGCATCATGTCACAACATCAGCTGCAGGCTGGAACTCATTTGCTCTGCTTGTTCTTTGATCCTCCAGTTGTTCCGGTAGGGAGCTGCATGGATCACGAGTTAGAGTTCATGAAGTGAACTCTGAACAGACTTTCCCTTTGCCTGAAGAAGCTTGCAAAGAACATTTTTTCCAGCTATTTAGTTGCTCTAATAAAAAGATATATCTACCCAAAGAACCTTGTCTGTCTATGTCCTTAGACCAACACAGCTACGACCAACAACCCTGAAGTGAACACTTGCACACCATGGTAATCTATAATACAATGCGTTTATTATAGTAAAGATCCAGAATTCATCTGATGGAGCTACTTATTTTCTACTCAGGTTAATATGTTAAGGAAATGCTGGTACATTTCAGAACTTTGGATCTTGCTTTGCATTCCTCACATGCTTGCCAGTTCAGTTAAAGGGAAGATCCTATGCTCCACGGTCTGCTGGTGGGGAGCAAGGTGGCAGATTAGAGTTGCTGTGTAGGCGAGGGTTCATTCCACTTGCTTTGAGGTACCATTGGCTATTACAGGGGCTGGGTGTTTGCTGTAATTCTGTTTGCTGTGTTGCTTGCAGTAAGGCGAGGGAAGTGCAACATGTTCTGAAAAATACTAATTCTCTATTTTTTCTCTTTTAGGGCCCAGTCATATATGCGCAGTTAGATCACTCTGGAGGGCAACACAGTGACAAAATCAACAAGTCTGAGTCCATGGTCTATGCTGACATTCAGAAGAACTGAGAGGAGGTCCCAACCAATCCAAAGCAAAACGTGCATCTAAACTGGAATTGCTTGAATGAAATGTGACCCAGAGAACTCACATGCGGCCTTTGATGCCCTAGCCTAGGACCAATGCATGTGGATACAGAGAGAGAGATGTATATGTATTGTGTGTAAATAGTCTATTTAATCGTACAGAAGTGAAACCAATGTTGCATGTTAAGATGTGGTAAGAATTCTGCTTATAAATTGCCAATATTACTTTTTGTATCTAGGATAAGGAGAGAGAAAGTGAACATTCACAACCATCACGGTTTTAAAAATATTTTTATCTTAATCATGAATGGAAAAACTGGAAAATGCTTGAGATTCTAGACTGACCTGACCTTTCTCTTTGTGGGGGGAGGGTGACTTTCCTATTAAGAGGGATATGAGGAAGGTTGTCCCTTCCCCTGTCTCCAGTCTTATCGGAATGTTTTTCTGTACCACTTATCTTTTCATTCGGACTCCTCCTGCATCTCATTGAATACATGAGCTAGGGATGTAAATATCATTTTAAAAATGATTAGTTTAACCTCCTGTAATTATATTGGTTAAACAGTTAACCGATAACAGCAGCTCAAACACAGCTGCTTCTAGGAGCAGTTCTCTGGCCCTTGTGGGTTGGGGGGGTGGTGGTGGGTGGCAAGACCTAATTGATGAGTCATTAGGCCACCTACTGTTTTCCTTTTAGGCTATGGGTACTAGTCCCCCTTGCCTCTTTCTCCTCCCCCCTCCCCTCCCCCTCCCCTCCCCTTCTTGTCTTTCTCCTCCCCCTCCCTCTTGCCTGCCCTGCCACCTTCTGGTTCCTGCTGGGGCACCATGCAGCTTCCCTTCCTACCCTGCCCCAAGCTAAACAATAAGCTAGCCGTTTTATCACTGGGCTTATTGGTTAAACGATTAATTGTTTAACCTTTCATATCCCCAACATGAACCCTTTTCCTTAGAAGAACTCATAATTCGTATGAAGAAAGAAGAGAGAAGGTATCAAGGGCCTGGCAACTTCTGTTTGAAATGTCTTTCACCCTTTTAAATAATTGTCAACTTTTAGGTCTAATTTCTGTACGTAGCAGAAGTGAGTCTTTTTAAGGCATAGAGGTCAAGTTGGTAAACTGAGGTTTGTGCCCTGAAGATAAAAGCCACTACTTTTTCATAAGGAAGCTAAAGCGGAGTAGGAAGTTAAGTTTCCAGGTGATTTCCCTCAGATCATGCTGTGCCCTTTCATGAGATGCCAGGTTTCCTGTGAGACTTTCCTGGGTCATTTTGTCCTTCAAGAAGTAGGAGCTCTCGTGGAGATGGTGTTGCACTTTTTAGAGGGGAAAGAAAGTGATAAAGCTACTGGCAGTAATCTGCTCATATTCTTGTTTTCGCCTAACATGTAATTGGAGCAAGGGAGAGAAGTGTGATGAATGGACTGTCACAAGCCTGCTGCTGTTTGAGGACAAGGGTCTTCCTTGCTTCAGTGAGATTCTTCTGCTGTGTTCTGCTAGAAAAAATTGAGCCCAATCCCACCTCCATGTGCTGCTGACTCTATGGTTACTCTGCCCTTGGGGGAACTCTCCTGTGATTGGCATTGTCTAACTACAAATGTATGAGCTTGACCCAGGCTGAAGAGATTCATGTCAAGGCTTCTTAGATCCTCTTTAACACAAGCAACGTGCAAGAGTGAGTGTTTTCAAAGTGTAGCTCAGTTCTTTTAGAAGAAAACAAGCTGCCTTTCAAATGCACTGAGCAGCAGGTGGCATGAGTTGGAGCTCTTATTTTTACTTGATTAGGGACATTGAAATTTTTGTGTCCATGGAAACATGAACAGCAGTCCATTTCTGGAAAAAAGACTGCTGCTAAGTTGTAACTGCTCTATAATTTAGTAAGACTGAAGTGTTGGGAGACGAGGCAATATGGGACCACACGTACTTTGAGCTTCTTTTCCCTTGGCTTATCTTAGCTTTGAGTTTTATTTATCAACAGTAGTAACTTATGTTAGTGGAAGTGGACTCTTATATGACTTAGTGAGCTGACTTTGAACTTCTTTGACTTCCTATTTGTTTGGTGGCTAATGTCATCAGACCCAGATGTCTGATAGGTTTCCTGATGCTCTCCTGACTGATGGTGAACTTTTAACTCTTACATGCTTCATTGACTTCCTCTGAATTCCCTGGTACTCTTCCCCAGGGTTTTGCAAATAAGAAACAAGTGCAGACCTTAAAGGGCTTTCAGTTTTTTGGAGGTGAGGGACTGGGGGCTGGAGTTCTCAATCTCTAGTTCTGTTGCAATGTTACTGCTAGCTCCTTGCCCCTGTGGGACTACTTCTGATGAACAGAGTGTTGTGTGTGTGGAGGCAGTCTTGTTGAAGGATAGGCAGACTGTCTTTTGCAGAAGTAATGGGTTGGAGATCAGAAAGGAGAATGAGGCTGCTCTACAGGTGTGAGAGCTCAAAGCTGTCCCTTTTACTATGTGCATGGAAGCGTGAGTGGTGGTCTAGTGAAATGGCAGTCAGGGTCTGGTATTACAAGTTTGTTCCACATTCTGAGCAACTGAATGAATGAGCTGCTTTCTGCTCCCTTCATAGCTTCTTTTGATACTGCAGTCCAACTCATGCCTCTGTACTGTCATGATGGGGGCCACTCTTGGATAACTGGAGCAGAGGGAGCTGTGTTGGAAGCCTGTACTTTACAAATACCTTGTGTTTCCCAGGGGGACTTAATGTGTCACAGCACAAAACTGCCAATGCACATTTTTTTTTCTGTTTGTCAAGAGAAGTGGTTTCTCAGTTTTAAAACAGACCTTGTCATCACTGCAAAGAAACACCCTGTGGGATTGCCTCCCCAGGGTCTGGCTGCTAGAACTTGCACCTTTGGAAGGTAAAGGATGCATATCATATTACTTTCGTCTGACCTTTCTTTCCCCTCTTAAAACTTGCTGCTGCTCACTGGAACTGCTAAAATGGCAGAGTGTTTTCCTGGCAACTGCCAGCCTTCCTTTAACTCTTTGGTGACTGCCAGCAAATATATTTGAGAGCGGAGAAGCGGGGTATCCTGAGGATGGATGTTACTAGCACTAGTATGAATGAACTGAGAGCTCTGGACTCTAATTTCCTTAGCCCTTTTCCAAGTTTAGGCCAGGGGTTGACTGCAGCTCTGGACACGCAGGTGTCTGGGGCTAAGGTGGAGTCAGAGCCAACCCTAGTAGCCTGTTGGTGGTAAAGTGCACCATTCTCTTTAGCAGGAGGCACACAAGATATTGATAAGTCAGCATCATACCTGGTATCCTTTGAGTCGCCAGCCCAAATGGCTAGATACCCTTTACAGCTGGGTCAGCTGGAGGTGGCCCGAAGCTTCAGTCTGTAGAGAGACTTCACTGTGCCTCTGACTTCACCTTAACTGCTCTGCCACAATCTCCTTGGTATTTCTGGTGTATATATGGTCCTAAGAACCTGAACAGGGTAGCAGCTGTATCCCTGTTAATGTGAGGGGCAATCTCAAACTGGATATTTTCAGGTCCTGACTTTGGAGGATTTAAAAAGAAAAACCCCAGGTTGTTTGGCTGAGCATCTCATAACTTTTGGTGCTTGTGTATACAAAGTCTTAAGGGTTGCATTTCTCTGGAGTGCATTCTCCAGTGTTTGGGGGGGGGGGGGGGGTTGTGGTTTT